CTCCCGCCGAGGGTTCGGATCCCACATATAGACCGGTTCCCGCTCACTGGCTGAGCGAGGCGCGGGGGCAACACTGAGGGGTGCGATCCGTTGCCCGGCACGGAAAAAGACAAAAAAAAAAAAATTACTTTGAGGTTAGGTTGTCCAGTTTGCATGTGCAATTAGACTGGTTGCAGTGTAGATATTAAGATGGACATATCCAAACTCAGAAAGAAGCTTTTTTCTTTAAAGAGTTTGTCAGGTTTTGTTTTTGTTTGGGGGCAGAGTGAGGTGTTGGTAGGATGGCTAAAGGCAAGGGGGTGGGTGAGGAAATTCTTTAGTTCTATTCAAGGGAGGCTATTAAAGTTGTGAGGAGACATAATATTAAAGACAAAAGCTGTGCTATCTGAGAGGGAGGAGAGGAGGGAACAATCCCTCCTGGGCCAGGTTTGGAGTCGGGAGGTCTATTTTTGGATCTTAGCTGTGTCACTGAGCCAAGTTGCTTCACCTTTCTGAGCCTGAGTTTTGTCAACATAAAATGGGTCAGTTGAAAAGATTGATTTATTTGAATAAATTAACTCATGAGAAGATTCTGTTGTCTGGCTTATTATAAATGTTGAGTCCTATGGAGATTTTGGAGATTTTACCATTCATATTTTTAGTAATAATATTTTAATGATATATAACATTAAAACTCCCCTTTCAGTGTAAATATAGTTCTAATGTTCTGAATAAGTTACTGGAATCATAGTTTGTGAAACCTGATTATAGCTGATAGTCTAAATGTAAACCAGTTGTAGTCTAGGAGTTTATGCTCAAGATGGTGCTGTTTCCCCATAAATTTGGTGATATTTTACATTTTATCTCAATCTGTTCCAAATCAAGCAAATAACTAGATATATATTTAGGACTATCTCTGCCTTCCATAGCCCTCAAGCTGTCTTTCCTTGTGAGACCCCACCCAATATCATACACAGAAATGTGCATTTATCTCATACTCACTATAATTATATATGTACATGAGAGTTGAGTCAGAGTAAAATATTTTAGATATTACAACTTGCTTTTTGTATTTTGGAATCAAGTTGTTTTTATGTCTAAATTGTTTAAAAAGCTGGTAGCCCTGATTCCTAATGGAGTAAAGAACCTAATATAGTTCTTCCCCAAACTGATTACAGTACAAGGGAAAATACTCACGCTGAACTTTGTTTTTGCTGGTAATCTCTGTCAGGACCACCGTAGCAGTCATTTCCTACTTGTCAGAAACTACATATGCATTTCATACATGTGGTCATTCTGTGCTTGATGTGAATTGTTTTGTTTTGTTTGTTTTTAGATCCGGGGATTTCTGTCGCGGTTTGATAATGTCCTTCCTGTCAGCCTGGCATTTGACAAATGTACAGCTTGTTCTTCCAAAGTAAGTCATTTTGCATTTGAGGGACTTGTTCTTAAAAGTGAGCCTATCAGCCCTGACCTCACTTTACCTGCCAGAGCCATTAAAACCAATTAGGGGTTTTTTTGGGGGGGAGGAAAGGGGTCTAAACAACCAGAAAGGATTTTCTTGTTTTCACTGATCTGCATTCATTCTCACAGAGAAACCAGCCAGAGAAAATTTGATCTGTAATGCACGGAGAGTCTGAGTTAGATATGTTAGCTCTGTATCAATACTTGCATCATGATAATTTTGGCTTGAACTAGCACTTTACCAGACTTTGTTCCTCCACAGAGGGTTTCCTTCTCTCATAGACCCTCATAGAGCAATTTTTAAGCTTTACTCAGAGGATGGGGGATTCCAGGCAGTACTAGCTGTGTCTTTTGGAGATCTACATAATGATAAAGAAAAAGTAAACAGAGATTAGGGGACTGGATAGGGAGCCAATAAAAGGGACCTTTCAGCTTTGATCTTTCCAGAGGCTCTAAAAATAGAGCTGGCATGTTATCCACTGTAATGGGAAACGGCCGATGTATATAAAAACTATAGTGATGGCATTTCATTTTTTAATAGGCTTTGATATACTGAGCTATTTTTACATGTATACTGTATGTGATAGCTGATTTCCTTTTGGGTTTCCCTTTAAGCCTTCTCATACCCAGTGATTTAATCAGGGCTTTTAAAATTCATGATTCTTGATAAGTAAAGATTTTCATGTTGAAGTGCTGTGCAAAGTAGTATTGGGGGTCACTAATCTCAAACTGTGGCCTCTTGGTTACAATTTGGGACATTTTTGCTATGTAGCCCACATCTGGCAGTGTGGAAGGAATTAAATTCTAAGGAAATTCTCTCTACTCTGAGTTAACACGCTTCCTCTGAAAACTTTACTTTGGTCATATGAAAATCACAATCCTGAACAGTTTCTTTAAAAGTTGAACTCAGGGCCGGCCCGGTGGCGCACTGCTACAGTGCGCCGCTTGGGAAGCGCGGCAGCGCTTCCGCCGAGGGTTCAGATCCCACATACAGACCGGCCGCTCACTGGCTGAGAGAGGTGCGGGAGCAACACCGAGGGTTGCGATCCCGTTGCCAGTCCCGGTCCAGTACGGGCGCAACACTGAGGGTTGCGATCTGTTGCCGGTCACGAAAAAAGACAAAAAGGAAAATAAATAAATAAATAAATAAAAGTTGAACTCAGGGCCGGCCCGGTGGCACACTGGAGAGTGCGCCGCTTGGGGGTGCGGCGGCCCTCCCGCCGAGGGTTCGGATCCCATGTGGGGACCGGTTCCGCTCACTGGCTGAGCGCAATGCGGGCGCAACACCGAGGGTTGCGATCCCGTTGCCGGTCCCTGGTGCGGGCCCGACACCGAGGGTTGCGATCCCGTTGCCGGTCAGTAAAAAAAGACAAAAAGGAATAAAAATAAAATAAAATAAAAAATAAATAAAATAAATAAAATAAAAGTTGAACTCAGATTTGACAAACAATGCTGATAAATTTGGTTAAATTTAGGTGCTCAAAAAATGAGTAATTTTTTTTCTTTTTGCTTCAAAAGTAAACTAAATCCCTATTTTATCATTTTCATCCCAAGTGCCTATGTTGAGATTTAAAGCTTATCATTTGTTAGTAGTTACCCATGAGCTCAGTCTTTTCTCTAGCTTCTTTAAGGTATCTTTTTTGTTGTTGTTGGCAGCTGGCCTGTAAGGGTATCCAAACCCTTGACCTTGGTGTTATAAGGCCACGCTCTAACCAACTGAGCAAACCGGCTAGCCCTAAGTTATTGTATAACTGCTCACATCAGGGCCTCAAGGATGTCTACGTGCATTTCTGTCTTCAGAAACACAAGTTTTAGGATTATATGCTCTTTAGTGGAGTGCCTTTTTTTTTTCTTTGAATGGCTGAGCTAATTTGTCTCAGAATAACTTGGCAGTATTAATTTCATATTGGAATTGTTTGGCACAGGTGCCAGAAGCTTTATGTAGGTCTGGCTAGTCAATGAAATAAAGATAATTGGGTTCTGTACATGAAATGCAAACACTCATTCTTTCTTCTTCTATTTCTAATTAAATTAGCCCTTGAGATACTGTTTATAAAAGAATTCCAAGCAAGCATACTGGCTAACTGGGGTCCCTTATATTATTTAAGAGAGAATAGCTTTGCATTTTTCTTTCACACTTATTATAAGCATTAAATTAATATAGGTATCACTTCTTTGTTCGCAAAATTATTTCCTCTTGGTGGTCATTCTGAAAGTCCTGCTTTACATAAACACTCTAGACGATTTAATACAAACTGACTTGGATTTTAACAGCTGTGCTGTTCCCATAGCGATCACTTTTCATGTGGTCTGGGTATTAAATTTCCTTTCTGCTGAAAAGGTTGTTTCACTGATGCATGTATTTCCTTACAGTAGACACACAGCATTTACTTACTTGGCTACCTTCTTTATTCACTTTGGGGAGTGTCATTCTCTATTATCTGCAAACGCAGCATTAATACTTTGAAATGACAAATCCAATTCCATTTTCATCTCTGTGCATGTGAATTTTTCTTAAAGCATACTTAGTATAATTTAAAACTTTTTATACTGAGTCATATCATAGTTGTTATTATTTCAAAAAGATTCTTTGGGGTAAAAATGACTTTTAAAAATTTCTCCTTTGACATTCATGAAGTAACTTTTTCCTTTGGTAGTTTTCAGTATTTTTGCCTTTTTTCCCCCTAGGACCAAGGCCATACTTGTGTTGTGTCTTGATTTAACCACAAATACAGACAAAAAAAAAAAAAAATTGGGGAGGCAGAATAAGCCCTGTCGAGTAATAATGCTCTTATTCATTACTGTGTTCATAAATATATATATATATATATATGTGTTATATATATGTGTGTGTGTGCGTATATATATATATATGTTATATATAATATATGTGTGTGTGTGTATATATGTATATATATATAGCTCTTTTTATAGCCTGAAGTGGGGAAGAATACAGTTCTCTACTTCTATGGCAGGGAAGGCCAAGTCATCTACCCACGAATCATTTCTCACCCTATTTTCTTGGGTGAGATCTTAGCTTGACATATAGCCAAGTGAATTGTTCCATCTTACAGAAAAAATTATTGAAGAATCTGGGGGTTGGGGGGTAGGTAGGTGGTGAGGAGTAACTTTATTTCCAATTTCTGTTTATTGTCTTGCAAAACTTTCTAAAATGATGGTATCTGTCACTAGAATTTCAAAAAAACTCATTTGAATTGAATCTTATGAGGGTTTTTTTTTTTGGTTTTGTTTTTTGTTTTTGTTCTAAAAAGGAATTTGGAGCCAACTAGAGTATTGTGGAGTTACTACCAGAGGAAACGGTATAATTTTGAAACCAATATTCCTGAAAGAAT